TTGCAAAAATTTTACTAATACCAACAATAACATGTTAACTGTATAACGAGATAATCGGTAGTTACGACATCGCAACGTAATAGTTAAAAATAAAATTCAACTTAACCAAGCACGCATGAAATTTCTTAGCTAATAATCATAACACTTGATATCATACTGTGGTTTAAGTAAGCTATTTAAAGCTGCTATAATTATTTTATTTATATTTTCTAAAATATGGTTGAAAATGTTTGCATACTGTCAAAAAACGAATGTGGAAAGTTTGTCATTTATGGATCGTGTAACTTTAGTAGTATGGCTCCTTCTGAAAGAGATCGTCCAGGAAAGTACTGCCACCTTACCTATTTCTGCCGCCAAGCAGTAATGTAAGCACTTAGAATAATAACCTAGTCCGCACACGCTAAGTGAGGCAAATTGAAGCGCGCCCAATGGGCCTACACGAGCGGGCGGGCCTTCAGTGCTCAAGACCAACTTGCACCGCGAACAGATCAAGAAATTTAGCTAAAAATGACGAAATGTGCGGTAAATGAGTGTAAAAATACGTCAGACAAACTTAAAATAGATACTAACATCACATTCCACAAGGAAGTAACGCGTTTCAACTTGTATTTTTATATAAATATTCGCTAAAACCGAAAATTAACCTACTACTAAAACTAGCCTACATGAATTTCATTTTTGCCTCACTTGTGACAGTTCGTTTGATATGAAACTATTATTCTATGCGTTATTATTCTAAGTGTAAGCATTATTGCGTTCCGATTTGGAAGGGTAAGGGTGCTGGTGAAATCACAGGCACATGGGACTTGTCAACTTATGTCACAGGGTGACGGGCATCTTAGATCTTTGCGATTTAAATCTCTGAGCGGCACTGCAACTGTTCCGGACAGGCGTGTCGCATACCACCAGGCGCGCGACTTGTTCGTCCCGTCACTTCGTATCACACTAATAACTTTTTTATGAAAAAGAAAACCAAAATCAAAAGTTCGTGGAATTACATCTGTTTTCCAAGTTTTATTGGAATCGGTTACCGAGAAGTTCGCGAAACCGCATTCATCCCCTAGTTTCCCACCCTTAGAGCAGGAATATTTTCTTCAAATTTAAATGGGACCAATACTGAAGTACCCTCTTCGAGTAATCGCGTAATATGCACCAAAAAAAATACTGTCGACTTGAGAACTACCTTCTTTTTTAAGTCGGTTAAAAAAGCTTATTTTTTGAGTGCAACTCGTTCCAAAAGCGGATTTATGATCGCAAAAACATAACTTAATGCGCAGGAAGATGTTTTTCTTCTGTATTTATCAATCATGCGTCGTTCTAAGATACCCACGATGTTTAAAAACTAACCTTCTCATTCACAAAAACAAGGATCCGCAACAAGTATCTAGTTAGGTTTAAGTGGCTCAGTTCCGAGATCGTCAGCCACGGTATGGTGAGGTCGCTGGTTGGAGTCTCTTTTGTAATCTTTGTATTAATAATTTAATTCGTCATCGTAGGGACTTTCGCATTTTATTCGTTCTGTACTGTATTATCTTTAATCCCACCTCTCCCCCCTACCTCAAAGATTATTTTGTGTGTCATAAGCACGACGCTCAGTCGCACCTTGCGGTCTTCTTTTAATCTATCTTTAAACTGTCCTATCCACTCTTCTAACTTATAATCACACTCCTTCAAGGTTAGAAGCATCAAACTGTGGAATTCCCTGCCTGAATCGATCAGATGCGCTAACTCTGTTGATTATTACAAAATTTTACTCAAAGTACATTATCATATACTCTAATTATTATTATTTTCTCCTATTCTTACCCGTTTTAAATTTTGTGTAAAATGTTATTATTACCGTATTTTACACACTCATCAATTTATATGTAGGTGCATATAATATAAACAGCCCGGCTCAAATAGGATTGGGCAGGCCACGTTAGCCGGATGCATCCCGAGAAGTGGGCGAACGTCGTCACTCCGTGGGTGCCGAGGATGGAAAGAGACGGCGGGGTCGGCCGGGTTGATATGTCGATGGGTTTGAGAGTGAGTGGTGGGAAGTTGCCAAAGACAGGGAGGATTTTGGGGGAGACCTTTTTGACCCAGTAGTGAGACATAATAGGTAAATAAAAAAAGCAGTCAAACATCGTGATATTCAATAAGGGTATTATTAAAACCTTCTCACTGTTGAAATTCAACAAAGAAGTTTCAAATTTCCTATTCGTTACTGTACTCTAAAATTACATTACTAATTACAATTGAAAATATAAGATGAAATGCCAAACAATAGCCCAAGGTCACATATCAAAGTCAATGTTTCGTCACACTCCAAATATTATAGTATTAATGATTAACACTTCAATTCTTGTGTCGATCGAACGCTGGAGTATGCAAATGATAGCTTTTAAACAATTAGGCACTTTTGATTTCAAATTGGCCAGTTTATGATGGTCTCTGAAATAAAAGGCAAACGTTATCTGCAGCAGCGGCATACTCTTCAATCATCATTTCTTTTTTAAACTTGTGTAATGTATTTGCTATAAAAAAGGCATTATATACAGTTTGATTAAACACTGTTGATATTGTCTAGTAGCAGAAGAGCTCTTTGCAAAAGAGTTCGTACAAGACAGTAATGCCACCTTTTTTTCTTTTTTTTTTTATAAATGTAAGTGTGCATTGGACCTCCATCTTACCTGCTGGAAAGTGACCATGAGGTCGACGATGGAGCACGCACACCAAAATAATGCCTATTCACTCTCGCCTTGAAAAGGTTCACGTTATAACGTTCAGGGAACAAGTCTGCAGGCAGGGAATTACACTCCATAGCCGTTCGCCATATAAATGTGGAAGCGTAACGCTTCGTGCGAATCTTTGGAATATCCACAACATAGGGGTGGAATCCATATGGTGATGGAAGGGGAAGGCGGAATTAAATCGTGTAATTCAATCGCACACTCTCCGTGATATATCCTGTAAAATATCGATAAGCGGGCAACTTTACAGCGGTGTTCGAGGCTCTGCAGCTTCGCCTCTACTAATTTCGAGTCACCTATAAGCCTCTTGGCACGCTTGTCAATTGAACCCCAGGTGGCCAGTTGGTATGTAGCAGAGCCATCCCAAAGGTTGCAGCAGTACTCCATAGACAGCTGAAGCTGTCCCGGTGTGAAGTAACGCCTCACCTAGGAAAGGATGCCAAGCTTCCTGGCAGCATTTTTGACCATAGATTCAAAGTATCTGCCGAAGTTCAGTTTGGACGACAGGTACATTCCCCGTAGCTGGACATGTTCGGCTATAGGTACCTTACCTATTTCTTCCGCCAACCAGTAATATAAACATTACTGCGTCCCGATTTTGAAACGCAAGTATGCTTTTGTTTAGTTGGTAATGAACTATTGTTACATTTTGAAGTACAAATATAACGGTATGAAATTGCGTATAGCTTATATCTTCGTTGTTTAATCATCGCCGCGTAAACGACAAAACAAAAAATACTTGTTATTGTAGTTTAAGTTTTGTACATATTCTACATTACATTAGTTATTATTTTCGTATTTTTAATTACTCTCATGTATTAAACTATGTTAAATTTTTCTCCTCACCTTCTACCAATAATTTATATAATGACAATGTATTTGTTTTTATATTATTTCTTTTATCTCGTTTCTTGCACTTATTTTTTCTGTTGATAAAATTACTTTGCAGAACTATTAAAATGTTTTAAAATCTACTGTGACCATGTTTGGCACTGCGATGTTCTTCCACGGCCATTGCATTGCCTGCGGCGCGAGGTGCCACAAAAATGTGATGTCACGATGTTCGCCATGTTAGCAATTGTTATATGTTTTATCGCGGTGCCATGCTAAGGGGGCAGATCTTTGAAATTTAAAGTTCTTAGTCGCGCAACTGTTATCGACAGGCGATTGCTTTAGATAGTCTTAAACTAGGTTAGATGTATAAATTAAGTAGCTTTACGGAGCGACATTACATTAACGAGCACGGTAAAGCTCCTTAATTTAGATTAAAATAAAAATCATGCCTATATTCAGTCGATAAACTGTTAAAAATAACACATATGATTAAGTTACTTACTTTTTAATCTACTTCAAAAAAGGGGGAGGTTCTCAATTCGACTGTATGTTTTTTTTTGTATGTATGTTTTGCGATAACTCCGGTATTTGTGAACCGATTTTCATGATTCTTTTTTTGTTGGGAAGGGGGTACTTCCATAGTGGTCCCATTTAATTTTGAAAAAAATCATCCACCTCTAAGGGTGGCTGTTCTCGCATGAAGATTCATTTTTACAGATAGCGCCTAAATTTTATTATAAGGAGCAATTATTTTAACGTTTGATTTTGCTATTTCTCCAATTCAAGGCGTTTTTCTCTCAATATACTTTGAGTAGTGAGAACCGATTTTTATTATCTCCTGTGTCAAGTCCCGTATAGTGGCGAACTAGGGGATGAATCCGGGTTTGCGCACTTTCCGGTAACCGATTTCAATAAAACTTGGTAATTCTACGTACTTTTGAGGTCGGTTTATTTAGTACTCTGTACTGAGGTTATGATACTGATATTCATGCTATCACGCCTATCTCCCACTGGGGTAGATAAATATCATGAACCTCCATTCTCTTACGTCAGTCTCTTCGTATAGGCTAGTTCATTTTTTTTAAACAAAAGTTATTACATTATTTGGCACATTTTTACGGAATGATTTGTTCAGCTGTTGTAACCTGTTTCACCTACCACACTCTCAAGCAGAGGTCGTGGGTTCGAATCCCGGCTTGCATCTCTGAGTTTTTCGGTATTTATGTGCGAAATTTAATATGAAATTTACCATGAATTTTTCGATGAAGGAAAACGCCTTAATGAAACCTGCTCATCGAAGAAGGTTTTTTTTTTACCTCGGAAGTTTTTTTTTTTATAAAATAAATGCGCATTTGACCTACATCTCACCTGACGGAAAGTGACGATAAGGTCGACGATGCAGCATGCGCACCTAAATAATGCCCATTCACTCTCGCCTTGAAAAGACCCAAGTTGTGTTATTAGTAACAAGTTATATGTAACGTTCAGGGAACAAGTCTGCAGGCAGGGAATTCCACTATATAGCCGTTCGCCATATAAATTTGGAAGCGTAACACTTCGTGCGAATCTTTGGAATATCCATAACATAGGTGGAACCCAAGCCTGCACCTAGACCCCGGTGATAGAAAGGTGAAGGCGGAATTCAATCGTGTAAGTCCGCAACTCGTGTTGAGTCAGCGTGGCGGACTGTGACCTAAACCTTTGCCTGTGAGGAGACCCGTGCCCCGTAGCGGGACATATAAATGGGTTGATAACAAATTTGTTCAGTGTCGTCATTACATGACGTTAAAGTATTACTGTATCAATTTAAAACACCTTGTATATTAAGTATAACGTAAATTTTCGGCAAGATGACATTAACCTTTCTTATGAACCAGTTCATTTTTTAATTTTACAATTTGAGAGTCCAATGTAATACATGTTATTTTGTTTAATTCACTGAGTTTGCCCTTAACATAGTTTCAGATGTTGATGACCTAGCTGTTATATCTGTAGGCATTAGATGGGGAAGTTTTTATTTTATAATGTCAATTGACTGGACGAACAAGTCGTACGCCTGGTGTTAAAAAACACACCTGTCCGTAACAGTTGCGGTGGCACTCGGAGCTTGAAACTGCAATGATTTCAGGGGCATTGCTACTGCGGGTGACCTATCACAAAGTCGAAAATTTTTTTGTCCGAAAAAACGTTCGTTCGAATTTTCATTGTACCGAAAACGAAACAGTTGTTCTTTCAGGATATGTTGAATGTTTATCGCAAAGACACGATTAGGTTCGGTTAGGTTAAGTTAGGTTTAAAAGAAAAAATATTCCTCTCAAAATTACTTTCGAGGTTATGAAATTTCGACCAAACGTTATTTCTGGAAAATGTCATTTCGGACTAGTGATAGGTAACTCTACTGCGCCCGTTACCTTGAGACATAAGTTGACTAGACATGGGACTTGTGAGCGATAATGTGAGAATTACAGCATTCCGGTTTTGACGGGTAAGGATGCTGTTGAAATTAGAATCACGTGGGACTTTGTATTGTTTACTGCGCCGAAAGCCGAAAACCAGTAGAAAGATCTGTAATAAAAACCCTAAAGAGAATTTCGTCAACTCAATAACTTTACCTGTAGCTCAGTTGGTTAGAGCAACGCTAAGGCACAGCGTGGTCATGGGTTCTAGTCTAAAATTTTCTTTGTATTCGAACTTTGTATTAATAAAGGGTGATGAGCGCAGCAGCAGTGATCATCAGATCTTTACAGGCGCACAACTTATTCGTACCATCACTCAGTATTTAAAAAAAAATACTAGTTAATATTTCGTATGTGCCAAACAATTGTTCAGATTTATGGGCACACGGAAGAGAAATTACTGTTTTTTATATGTTCTATTTCTAGTTTTTTATTAAAACTGTTTTACATTTTATACTTCTAACTTTACCACCACCATATTTTTTTAGACACGCAGAGAGCCACAGACAATAATATGTATATCAGTGCTAGTGTTGTACCAATCAACATTAATCATATTACTGGTCTCAAACATACATAATATACTAACTAAAGTTTTTAGTAGCAGTAGAGCTACTTGTGAAAAAGTTCGTTCAGGGAAGTACTGCCACCTTACCTATTTCTGCCGCCAAGCAGTAATATCAGCATTACTGTGTTCCGGTTTTGAAGGTGAGGGTGCTGGTGAAATTACAGGCACGTGAGACTTGTCAACTTATGTCTCTGGGTGACGGGCACAGTGACAATGCCCTTTAGATCTTTGCGATTCAAAGCTCTGAGTGGCACTGCAACTGTTATGAACAGGCGTGTAGCTTACCAACAGGCGCACGACTTGTTCGTCCCGTCACTTGGTATTATAAAAAAAACTGAGTAACTGCCTTTTGATAGCGTTACCATGCTGGACTGCCACGTAAGAGGTCCGGGTTCGATTCCCGGGTCCGGGTGTAATTTGTGGTTGTCTATAGGCGTGTCCATGGCAACCGCGATACAAGGTTTCCCTAGTACGTGTGTGCGCGTTATTATTATTATTATACTTCA